GAATATGCCAAGCATTTGTTAAAAGTTACAACTACATTTTTAATGACGAGTGATATCCTCTGTGTTCCAAATCTACTTTGTGGTGAAGAGAACCATCCCCTTAATGGATAATAGCTACTAACTTTCTGCTCCTGATCCTAGGAACCTATCCACCACTCCCAATTTTCCATCCCTGATTCTACACTCCCATTTTCCAGTCCCAGTCCTCTGCTCTATTATTCACTCATGATATGAGATAAGACTCATAAAACCTTCAACACGAAGGATTTTTATAACCATGTCTAGAATAGTTATACTATTCTGTATACCGTAGTATAGATATTGAGACATAAAGTTCTAGAACATAGAGACCATTTGGTCCATCATGTCCAAACTAGTCATCAAGTAATTATCTACTCTACCCTAGTCCCAGTTTCCAGCACTTGGCCCATAGCCTTATATGCTGTGGTGTTTCAATTGTTCATGTAAATATCACTTAAATGCTGTATCACTCTTTCAGTGAGTTTCAAGTATCACCACCAATTCCTGTCACCAACCCCTGAACCCCCCCCCCCCCACGGGAGTTTTTTTTTCCTCTAAACTTCCTGTCTTAAATTTATGCCCCCTGGTTATTGACCCCTCTACAGTGAGAAAAAGTTTCTTCCTATCCATCCTGTCTTTGCCCCTCCTCATTTTGTACACTTCAGTCAGGTTCCCCTTCCCCCTTCTCTTCTGAGGAAAACAATCCCAGCCTAGTCTCTTTTTATTCTTCTCATAGTTGAAATGCTCCCACCCAGGAAACATCTTCTCTGCACTATCACTTATGCAAATGCATCCTACTTACACTGTGATGATCAGAATTGCACACCATATTCCAGATGTGGCTTAATTAACTTCTTATACAAAGCTCTATCATAATCTCCATGCTCCTGCATTCAATGCCTCGACTAATAAAGACAAGTCTCCCATATAACTTCTTAACCACCTTATTCATCCGATCTGTTTCCTTTAACGATCTATGGTCATGCACACCAAGGTCCCTCTACCTCTCTGTACTTCCTAAGGTCTTACCTTTAATCGTGTATTCTCTACTTGTTAGTCCTTCCAAAATGCATCACCTCATACTTTTCTGGATTAAATTCCATTTGCCGCTGTTCTGCCCATTTGATCTGTCCATATTCATCATTCTGTAGTCTGAGGCAATCCTCCTCATTATTTACCGCACTACCAATTTTCATGTCATACCTCTTACATTTGAATCTAAGTCTTTAATCTACACAACAAACAGCAAGGGACCAACCCTGCAGTATGCCAATGCACTTTGGCTTCCAATGTCAAAAACAACTATTGACTGTCACCCTCTGCTTCCTGCCATTAATCCAATTTTGGATCTGATTGCTCTGCATCCTATGGACTCTTCCCAATCCATGCAAGACCTTGTCAAAGGCCTTAGTGAAATCTACAAACTACTGAATTACCCTCCTTACGCACCTAAACACCTCCTTGAAAAATTCATTTAAATTTTGTTAGATTTGATTTCCCCCTGAGAAAACCATTAATCCTTGCCTCTCCAAGTGGTGATTAATTCTGTCCCTCAGAGTCTTTCTCAATAGCTTCCCTATGACTGAATTTAGACTCACTGGCCTGTAGTTTCCTAGTGTATTCCTAGCACCTTAAATCTTATTGAGTTATGGTCAATGTCACCAAAATGTACCCTCACTGACATTTTTACCACTTGTCCAGCTTTGTTGTATAAAATTAGATCCAGCACCTCTGTCTCTTATAGGACATTCTTTGTGCTGGTTTAAATAGCTCTCCTGGATCTATTTTAAGAATTCTGCCAGCTCTAAGCCTTTCACACTTAAACTCAACTGTATCTTCGTTAATATTGGGGAAGTTGAAATCCCCTTCTATTATTACCTTATTAATTTTACACTTCTCCTGAGATTTGCCTGCAAATCTGTCTTTCTGTCTCATTATGACTGTTGCGTGTCTATACTGCACTCCCAGCAATGTGGGTTTGGAAGGTGCTGTCAGAGGAGACTTCCCTGATACACAAGAACTAAGTGTTTGAAGCAATACCACCTGAATGGTGTAATAAAGGTAGGCTAAAATCTTGACTTGTGCTCTAACATATCTGCCAAAACCTATTGTTGGCACCCAGTCTTGTGAAAAACATGCTTGTTGCCAATTCTGTCAAGCTATTGTTGACAAATGGAATAGGATCAATTTCATTCTAACTTCTTCGTTTAACTGCGTGCAATCCACACAAAATCCTAGTTCTCCTTTTATCTTAGTAACAGTAACTAGCCCTAGGCACTGTTGTGTCAGCTGTATCACTGGCAATATGACCCTCTTTCAATTATGCTGGGAGTTTATGATTAGATGGGGTTAGCATCTTCTTGTGGAATAATGCAATTCTCCTGCTTTGATTTCCTTAAATCTTTGAATAGCTTTGTAAATTATTTTCAAAATTCTCTCCTGCCTTTATTCTGAAGTACTTAATCCACTATTCCTAAGAAATCTAAACAAACGTGCATTTCTGCTCAACAGTGAGGTATTCGGATTTTTGGTGTCTATATAATGTCAATATGATGTTGTGTTCTCTGTGACTAAACTTCTGTGGCGAGTTGTCCACCCACCTTAAGATCTGTGCCTCCTGTGCCTTGGAGTCTTATGTTTAGTGGTCCGATTCTCTCAGACTTGAACCATGGCTAACTGTCTGCCAGTTTTGAAACAGTTAACTCCATGTTGATTTTAACTTTAGTTTTAACCCCCTGTACCTTCAAATTGAAGGTTCAGAAACTGTTTTGACTCTCTTTGACCTTCTTGAGAAATGTTGCTTTCACCTTCTGTTCTGTAACTTTAAGTTTATGAACTTTTTCCTTGTTACATGATTTCCATTCTTCTGTATTTTTTTCTTTTTATAGGGCCTTTTTCTTGTTTTTGAAGTAATGAAGGTTCAGTTAATTTACAATCTTTTCTAAAAGAATCCCAACCCCACACACAATTATAGGACTCAGTTCCATCTGCTGAACATATATTGCACTTCTGATTCTGTTTGGAGCCACATCTTGTGTAGCCTATGGTCCATGATGCTCATTCTATTCACTTACCACTTTTGGATGGCTTCTGGGAAGGTGATGATACAGTGGTCCAGGATAAGAAGTCATTTCAGAGCCCAATAACTCGGACTACTGTGCTCAGGTCAGTGGGTGGGACTGCTGTGCTAGGTTTAAGGTGGGGGGGGAGGTGTTTCTGTAGGGTGGTTTGGGGCCACTGTGTTCGGGTTGCTGAGGGGAAGGGTACAGGCAGTACTGCCGTACTCTGATCAAGGGTAGGACCTGGGCGCCAGGATAGGAACAGCACTGGGGCCAGTGACTTCAGTCCCAACCCCTACCACGTCTGAGGAATCCCAGATGTTTCTGAGGAAGGGTCTAGGCCCGACACGTCAGCTTTCCTGCTCCTCTGATGCTGCTTGGCCTGCTGCGTTCATCCAGCTCTACACCTTGTTATCTCTGTTTCTTCATTGTACTGACTGATTCTGATTTTTTTTTTAAAAAAACCTTTATTCGTTTATGGGATGAGGCATTGTTGTGGGTTTGAAGTCACATGTAGGCCAGACCAGGTAAGGATGGCAGTTTCCTTCCCTAAAGGACATTAGTGAACCAGATGTATTTTTTTTTCCCCTGACAATCAGCCACAGATTCATGATTATCACTAGATTCTTATTTCCAGTTTTTTTGTTTTTTTTTTTAATAATTCAAACTCCATCTGCTATGGCGGGATTCGAACCCAAAAAATTATCTTGGTCTCTGGATTAACCGTCCAGCTATAATACCACTAGGCCATTGCCTCCCTTCAGTGATTTCTACTAGGGTAAAAAATCTGATTCCCTGTTCCAGAGTCGACTTATCTTTCGATTGAAGATAGTGATAACTTCATGTCCCTCACACTGACTAGTATATGGTCTCTTAGCAATTCAACTTTCAAAGCTTTGCAGCTACAACATCTTCTGTTTGATATAAATCATCAAAAATACTTCTATCAATGCTCCCAAGTGTTGAGATAACTGGATACATTTTTCCTGTTTTATCACTAAATTTCTTAGGGTGCTAAAGTATGCATTGAATGAGTTAATCAATGCATGATCCTCCTTGGTGCTCTCTTCCATGTTATTTTTTTTACCAGGTCATCATCAGCTATTGAATCTGCTGCATATAGAAATGGTGGGCTTGATGTGCCTGCTCCTTTGCATATTCTTTGAACCGATTCTGAAACCATTCTGTGGCACTGAAACTACTATTGGCTAATTGTGGGGCTTCCACGTTATTAAATGGATGAGGTAATGGTAAAGTCTCTATCTAAGCTGTCACATCTATGGGCTATCACACTGGACTGATCTGGGTGAGTACTTGCATTTCTCCCTCTTACTATTGTGTATTCTGATTCTGTTTCCTCTCCAAAGTATTGCTGATTCATGGCCAGGCTTCAGTGTTTCCCAAGATTCAACTTCCTAACCTTTTGGAGTCTTCCCAGTCCGTAGCCTTGTAATCAAAATCTTCTGAGGTTTTTGCTTGTCTTCAGAGTCTTCCTGCTTTTTTTCCTCATTTAATAGAATTATAGATTTAAAGCAAATAGACTCATTTATTTTTGGTTTTTCTTCATTTTCTGAAGGTTTAAGAGGGCCAATTTTAATTTTCTCACCACTTCACCTCCACACACCCTTGTCAAAGTGTCTGGCAGAAACACTGTTGACAGGGTTTACCATTAGCAGTGTAAGTCTTCACATCATTGTTTTGATATGTTTCCAGTCCTGGATTTCTCCACTACTTCTATTGACAATGTTTCATAGAAAGGGAGAAGGACACCCACCCCAAGGGTGCAGGAGCCTACATTTCAATGTCAGTGCTGCGGCTATGCTGATATCATTGTTGAAGTGTCTTCTGTGGCTAATGTGCCCAAGTTCCATCCACTAATACCTGACAGTGGCATCAAAAAATCCAGGTAGATAGAGGCCAGGAGGGGTTACAGGGATCAGGACGTGGGAAAGAAAGGCTTATCGTTACTGAGAGGGAGGGTCACAGAAGGAGCAGATAAGGTTGCTGAGTTTGCAGGGTGTCAGAGAGCAGGGGGGTGAGACTGGAGTTAATGAGGGGTCACATAGAGGCTGTAAAAGTTATGGAGTTACTGGATGTCACCGAGAGCTTCTGAAAGCCACATACAGAGCGGGATAGAATCAGCTGGGGGCTGCTGACAGTAAAACAAAACAAAGCTGGAGTTACTGACAGAGCAGAGTGCAGCGGGAATGGGCTAAACAAACCAGGAGGATGTTCTGCAAACCAGCAGCAGCAGCACTTAACCCTGTTTTAACAACATAAAAACTGCAATTTAAAATGTCTGTATTTGAACAAGTTATATGTTCGATAGAATAGGAAATGGGCCCACTAATTCAAGACTGGGCATCCATGAGGCGCTGTGGGCCATCAACAGCAGCAGAATTGTACTCCAACACAATCTGTAATCTCATGGCCTGGCATATCCCCCACTCAACCATTACCATCAAGTCAGGGGATCAATCCTGTTCAATGAAGAGTGCAGGAGGGCATGCCAGGAGCAGCACCAGGCATACCTGAAGATGAGGTATCAACCTGGTGAAGCCACCAAACAGGACTACTTGCACACCAAACAGCGAAAGCTGCAAGTGATAGACAGAGCTGAGCGATCCCACAACCAACAGATCAGATCTAAGCTCTGCAGTCCTGCCGCATCCAGTCATGAATGGTGGTGGACAATTAAACAACGCACTGGAGGAGGAGGCTCCACAAATATCCCCATCCTCAATGATGGTAGAGCCCAACACATCAATGCAAAATATAAGGCTGAAGCATTCACAGCAATCTTCAGCCAGAAGTGCCGAGTGGATGATCCATCTTGGCCTCCTCCAGTGGTCCCCAGTATTACAGATACCAGTCTTCAGCCAATTCACTTTACTCCACATGCTATCAAGAAACGGTTGGAGACACTGGGTACTGCAAAGTCTACCAGCCCTGACAATATCCTGGCAATAGTACTAAAGACTTGTGCTCCAGAAATTGCCGCTACCTTAGCCAAGCTGTTCCAGTACAGTTACAACACTCTGTTATCTATCTGACAATGTGGAAAATTGCCCAAGTGTGTCCTGTATATAAAAAGCAGGACAAATCCAACCTGGCCAATTACCGCCCCATCAGTCTCCTCTTGATCATCAGTAAAGTGATGGAACGTGTCATCAACACTGCTATCAAGCAGCACCTGCTCAGAGACGCCCAGTTTGGGTTCCGCCAGGGCCACTCAGCTCCTGACCTCATTACAGCCTTGATTCAAACATGGACAAAAGAGTTGAATTCCGGAGGTGAGAGTGACAGCCCTTGATATCAAGGCTGCATTTGACTGAGTATGTGGCATCAAGGAGCCCTAGCAAAACTGGAATCAGTGGGTATCAGGGGGCAAACGCTCCTGGTGGTTGGAGTCATACCTGACACATAGGAAGATGGTCGTGGTGTGGGAGGTCAATCATCTCCGCTCCAGGACATTTCTGCAGGATGTCCTCAGGCTAGTGTCCTAGGCCCAACCATCTTCAGTTGCTTCACCAATGACCTTCCCTCCATCGTAAGGTCAGAGGTGGGGATGTTTGCTGATGACTGACTGCACAGTGTTCAGAACCATTTGTGACTCCTCAGATACTGAAGCAATCCATGTTCACATGCAACAAGGTCTGGACAATATCCAGGCTTGGGCTGATAAGTGGCAAGTGACAAGTGACATTCGCACCACACAAATGCCAGGCTATGACCATCACCAATAAGAGACAATATAACCATCACCCCTTGACATTCAATGGTGTTACCATCACTGAATCCCACACTATCAACATCCTGGGGGTTACCATTGACCAGAAACTCAGCCGGACTCACCACATAAACACAGTGGCTACAAGAGCAGGCCAGGAGCTGGCGATACTGTGGCAAGTAACTCACCACCTGACTCCTCCAAACCTGTCCACCATCTACAAGGCACAAGTCAGGAGTGTGATGGAATACTCCCCACTTGCTTGGATGAGTGTAGCCCCGACAACACTCAAGAAGCTTGACACTATCCAGGACAAAGCAGCCCGCTTAATTGGCGCTACATCCACAAGCATTAACTCCCTCCACCACCGACACTCAGTAGTAGTAGTAGTGTGTACTATCTACAAGATGCACTGCAAAATTCACCAAAGATCCTCAGACAGCACCTTCCAAACCCATGACCACTTCCATCTAAAAGGACAAGGGCAGCAGATATATGGGAACACCACCACCACCACCTCCAAGTTGCCCTCCAAATCACTCACCATCCTGATTTGGAAATATATCATTGTTCCTTCGCTGTCATTGGGTCAAAATCCTGGAATTCCCTCCCTAATAGCATTATGGGTCAACCCACAGCAGGAGGAATGCAGCGGTTCAAGAAGGCAGCTCACCACCACCTTCTCAAGGGCAGCTAGGGATGGGCAAGAAATGTTGGCCAGCCAGCGATGCCCACATCCCACAAAATGAATCACCAGAAAAAAATTCCTGTGCCTGATTCTATCCTTTTCTGTTGAGGTGTCATTGCAAATCTCACCACATGGTGGTGCTGTGCTACTGAACAAAATGATATCCCCATGCTTTCGAGGCAGAGATTGGAAACAAGTTGCTGGTCATGGTTCTGGTCTTAGTGTGATTTGGTGCAGTGACTTATACCTATTCTGAACAGACCAATACCCAGTGTAGAATGCACAATTTAGGTTCTTCTCCACAGTTTGTCTACAAATCCTCAACATTTAAAAGTTGACAATTAAACAAATTTTATAAGAGATAGCAAGGTGTAGAGCTGGATGAACACAGCAGGCCAAGCAGCATCATAGGAGCAGGAAGGCTGACGTTTCGG